TGATCGATAGCGATCATGCAAACTCATTCAGTGTTTGGGTTTACGGATATCAAAAAAGCTTTGGGGCTCTGGTGTGTAAGCAATTTGTTGAGTCATTGATACAACCATTGATGAATTCTTTATATTGTTTAGATTTAAAAAATAACGAAGAAATCGTTAACCTCCTAAATAATTACTTTAAAGTTTTTTGGGTAGCAACTTCTTATTAATATGATAAAATAAAGCTACTGAAAGATATTTGTTTTTTTCAAGAAAAAGATTTAAAATAAAAATGTGAACAAATTATCATTAGGAATACAAGCAGCAGTAAACACTCTTAATTTCGTACTGTACGGAAACGTAAATTAGAACGGACGTGTAGAAATCATATTAGTACATACAATTTTGTAGAAGACAAAATTTCGTCAAACCCATACTTTTTCTACTAACCCCAACATAAAAAAAGACAATGCTAGTGCTCACTCTAACCCTAACTATTAATAATATTGTATTTAATTAATTGATGCCATCTTAATAATCTGTAATAATTCATTAAATAAATACAATGAGTCATCAAAATACGAGACCAAATAATATTGATACGTATTTAAATTGACTTCTTGTTTATAACCTGTACATCATTTGTTCTAATCAATAGTTTACCACAATTTAATATTGTTTTTTCCAAAATAAAAAAAAATTAATTTTAAAAAATTTGTCAATTTCCCTTCTTTTTGTAGACCTAGCCCATATTTGATTCATTAAAAATTTATTTTCAAGAAAAATAACATTACTTGTTTTTAGGTTAGGTGGTCAAACTGGAAGTGATCAGGCAGTAGCAGTTCTAGACCGAATCACAAACAAATCAAACCATAATTAGGGTTATATGTATTGTTTATTATTGAATATTTGCTTCTTATAAATTTTTTTAATAATAATGTGGAATACTGTAAATACAATCTTTTGTGCGAAAAATATAATTCCCGGATTGAATATTCCAGCCAATCAAGTATGACTATTCATACGAACTAAATAGGATTTAAATAGTGAAGAAAACTCGTCAAAATAAAAAAGTTATCTGGTGAGAAAATAGCAACATAAATGTTTAGTGTATCCAGGTCATGCGGTTTTCAAGTTTTAAACAATAGTGAAAGCAATAGAAAATCGCTGTATAAATACATATCGATAATAAAGTTTTGGACATTATTTATATTACACAACGAAGTTAACTAAATTATATTTTTTCAAAGATCGGAATTTTATATTTACGTAATCAGTGGAAGCTCCCTAAAACAATTTATAAATTGTTTTATAATTCACATTTTCAACATTATTTTTAATATAATAATTCAATCGATTGAAATCTTGAGTTATTAATGTATTTTATTAAAAATTAAATTGGGTCAACAAAAATTAATTCTTTCTGCAACGCATTTGTGCTTATTTAAATATAAATATTAGAACTCATTTTTTATATTTTAAAAGAGAGAATGGAAAAAAAGCTGCTAAAAATAGTGAATATTTTTTTAAAACTCAAATCAAAAAGGCAATAGATCATGACGTGAATAAAGAATATAAGAAAGCATGGGATATTTTTGAAAACCTTCATAAAAAAGGATACACAGGTGGACCACAAATCT